CAAGCATGCTACCAACTGAGTCACATACCTAGCCCTGGCATAGAGCCATTTTGTTTCAACATTTTAAAGAGAAATTCCAGGCCTAGTTAAGAAGTCATACAATAAACGTGCTCCATGGGGTAGAGGGAATTTTGAGTCAAAACTGTTGCAGATAGGGATTATGAAACTCATCTCCAACTCCCTTCAGCTATGACTGGGAAGGTTCACCCCATGAGTGGAACCGTGTTGTAGCATTGCTCCTACAGGTGGGCTGGGGCATAACTGACTGTTACCAGCCAATCTCCCACCACACTCTGGTGGTCATGTGTCCCACTAATGGTACTGTCTATGGGAAAGGTGGAAGGAAAGGGTGGGAACACAGCCCATGTAGACCCTTGTGCAGAAGGACCCTTCACTCTAAAGGTTCAGGGATACCTCCTGCTCTCCAGCACAGGATGAGAGGAGCAAGCTCAGGAGAGAGCTCCCTGGCTATGCGATAGGGTGGATCAACTGATTTCACTTCAAAGCATACTCTCTCTGGAGGTGTGGAGGGTGGTAGCTAAGCTGCCTTGGCTGCTGAGTCCAAGGCTTTCTATTCACCCCTGTGCTTACAGACACCTGCATAACTCCAGAAAACCATCATAGTGTTTAAAAAATAATGCAGTTTTGATGTTTTGGTTTTTTGCCCCCTTTTGAAGACAGTTTGCCTCAGGATCCTCCTCTGAACCACACTGGCAGCTGGAAGGTCCCTCCCTGCCCCAGTGACTACAGCTGGCTTTGGAACCAGGAGGGTGTGCACACCTGTCCTGTGGCAGTGCAGCTGCCCAGGCCTGCCCCAACCTGCCTTTACAGAGCCACACAGGGCCTTTGTTCCAGGCTCAGACGGCGGTGCCTCCAGGCAGCGGCCTTAGTGGGTTGGGGCAACTCCCTGGCCCAGGCCTCCTGCACTCTCTGTGCTCTTGAAGCTCAGGCACGTCTATTTGCTTTTGGAGCAATGCCAGAGCCTGCCACGTTGTGCCTCCCCTGCCCTGGAGTGACGTTTAAGAGCCCCGCCCCCGTCCTTTCATATACAGGCTCCACCTGTTGTGTCTGTCAACCTGCCCCCTGGGAGGGAGGATGGTGTTTGTCCCTTCTAAGAACACCTGGGCTTTGTGCTTTCTGGCCCTGGCACCATCCTTCTGTGGTGGAGAAGAAGAGGTCATGGGTGAGGTGTTTTCTATTGAGGGCTAGGCATATCCAATGTGTAAGGCACAGTGCTCTTTGGGTACTTGGGTCTACTAGTTGATCCCAATGGGTAAGAGCTATGTTTGTGAAGTACAGTGCCCAGCAGCCAAAGAAAAGCACATGCTCTTCCTGAGGCAACACGGAGGTGTCCAGAGATGGGGCTATGTCTCCAGCTTTTCCAGGGTAGAAAGGAACTCACCAAGCAGCAATGGGAGGTGAAGGGATGTGTGGACAGAGATGGAGCATAGGTGACACCGTGGCCAAAGCCAGCTCTTAGCAGCTCAGAATCAGTGTTACCACCAAAACCCGTCATCATTCCTCAATTCACTTCCCAAAGGAATCAATACAAGATCTAATGATGGGGGCTGGAGAGATGGCTCGGTGGTTAAGAACACTGACTGTTCTTGCAGAAGACCCAGGTTCGAATCCCAGCACCCACATGGCCACTAACAACTGTCTGTAACTCCAGTTCCAGGGGATCTGACAGTCTCTTTGTCCTCTGTGGGTATTTCATGACACTGGTGCACTTACCTACATGCAGACAATACACATATACACATAAAAACAAAAACAAAAACCAAAAAAACCAAGATCTAATGCCAGAATTTCATGGGGGGAAGTGATTCCTGAGGATCATGGAGACAGACACTTCCCCCCTTGTCAAGGAGCAAGAAGAGGAGTCTACGGAGTGAAGGCTCCAGCAGAGCTGCTCAACAGGATGGGGTGGGCACAAAGAGGGTGTCTGGTACTCCCATCCCCAGTACACAGCTGTCAAGTACAGACTTGGTTAGTCTGCCTCTGTGCCACCTGAGTTCAAGGGAAAGCACCGGATAGGAGTAAAGTGGGGGACAGGAGCCAGGTCACAAGAGCTCTGTTTAGTCATCACAAGTGGAAAACAGAGCCCACCACTGCCATTGGCTGGTAGGAATTTGGAGGGATCTGGAGACTGAGTTGGAGAGCCAGCTTCATTTCACAGGCTACCAATGGCCCGGAAGCATCACCGAGCCAGTCCCTGGCCAGCAGAGTGGTGCCCAGCAGCTGGGACAGTGGGAGCTACAGCTACCCAGAAAGAGGACAGTCACCTATGCTCCCCCAATTCCACAGGCTTAGGCCAGGGAAAGGAGAGAAAGGAAATGAACTCACCAAACCCTGTGCCCTATCACTGTCTAAAACCTCTTGTGCTGGGGGACGCGGCAGCAAAGAACTTAGTTTAAATGACCAGTACTGGGTCACAAATTACATAAAACTGTTCTATTAATGGAACATGACTGAAGAGCTATGGATTCTGGCCAAGATCTCATTAAATGAATCTTGACCCAGCAGGAGAGATGATTCAATATAGCACAGTTGGGGAGCTATTATTGAATATCATGAAACCACTTCGGAGTCACACCCCCAAGCAGATAGTTCAGCACACTCCTCCAGTATGTACCTGAGACCCACGAGGTGATTCAACATCAACAGAAGGCTATGTTCTCCACGGTACACATCCAAGAATCACAGCTTTTCAACCCTTGTTCCAGATCCCAGGGCATTCTACATGTGATTCCGGTCAGCTGTCAAAGGCACACCTAGTTTTTTATCTGTTTGCTATCCCAGAATACATCATGAACGTGGGCTCCAGATCACACAGGCCTGGGTCCAGATCCTGACACCTCAGAGATTTCACTCACGCTGTCTCTGTATGTGTGGCATATGTGTATGTGCACATATATGTGTGTGGCCCATGTGTGTGGTATGTGTGAGTACATGTAAGTAAGTGCACTGTGCATGCATATGTGTGGGCTAGGGACCACCCTTGGGTGCCGTCCTCCACCAGCCTCCATCTTATTTTTTGAGACAGGGTCTCTCACTGTATCTGGAGTTGATCAACGGACCATTGGCCAGCAAGCTCCAAGGATCCTCCTGTCTCCAACCCTTGTTTCCCAGAGCACTGGGGTTACAGCCCTGGCATGGGCAGGACACCATGCTCAGCTTTTTACATGGGCTCTATGGATCCCAACTCAGGTCCTCAAGCTTTCATAGCAAACACTTTACCCACTGCGTCACCTCCCCAGCCCCACTTACAACCTCTTTAAGCCAAGTTCCTCATCTGAAAGCGGAGAGTGTCATAAACCCCAGCTTCAGTCATGAGAAAGAACTGAGACCGGTGCAGATAAACCGCCCAGAACACAGCTGGCATTTGTTCATTCCGTGAACACTTACTGGGTAGACATCTATGACTTCGAGTACAGAGAACACGGGGCTGATGGGAGAACACACAAGGCAGAAGGCCAGACAAGAGGTAGCTGAGGGTGGCCAGGGATCACCACCAGGCCTCAGGGATGAGGCAGGCCTACAGAGTCAGCCTCCCCTTGACACCTACCTCCTGAACACAACTCTATCAAAGCTCCTGCCGGTGCTCTCCTAGGGGACAGAGGCCTGTACCAGGGTCCAACCACTCCCTCCCAGACACTGGGAGGAACATGTTCTGCCACCTACTGGTCAGACAAGGAAGAATGTGTTCTCTGAAGCTGTCTTCCTGGTGCTGAACCTCCTAAATCCCAGCGATGTATGATCCACAAGGGTGAGGGCCACAGCCCAGGCAAGGGTATCCCCAAGGATCCTTCTGTAAGTGCTGGGATTAAGACTGGCCACTAAACTGAGGCCCATACCCGGGGCCAGGCTTACCACAAGAATTCCAACCACTTTCTGACACATTCCACTCAGAGACACACTATGCCCAGAAGTCATGTACGCCCCCCACCTCCAACACGCAGAGACACAGTCAGAAACAAGCTTTCACCTCGTGATAAAGGCACAAAACCACAAAGAGCCCAGGAAGTCTGCGAATTTACCTGCTCCATTTGGTGGAGTCCAGCCTCACTGCTTCCCTCCGCCCCACCCCAATGCCCAGAACCCATGCTCCTGTACCTCTTTTCAGAATGGACCCTTGCCATGCTAGGGTGAGAAGGCTCATCAGACGTCCCAACTGCTCTACCTGTTCAGGGAAAACGGAGGCAGGTGCAGCCTGAGGGGCTGGGAAGGTGCTGGGCCTATTAGCAGCTTCGGAGCTGGCAGCTGCTTGTGTTTACAAACAGGAGCACTAGAGTTTCCAGGTGGAGGTGTTGCCCAAGGAGACTGCCGATTCTGGCCAGCCGGCTCCAGACCAATACCCAATCCACCAACAAATGGCCAGCAGACACCAACGGTGCTAATTAGCTGCCAAATCCAAGTCAATTAAAATCTAATCAGGAGATTAAACACGTAGTAGTGTATTCATAAACTTCATTTTTTTCAGGAGTAAGGCAAAGTTCTGCTTCTCTAGTAAGAGGGCTAAGGGGATCGAGCATGTTCCCCTGGGTGCTGGACTTTGTCCGGCGGTCTGGCATTCTCTTCCCAACAGATAACGGCTGATAGATAATTCACGAGGCCACAGGACAGGGGAAGCAAATAGGCATTGTTTAAGCAGGGCAAGCAGGGCTTTCACCAATTGGAGCCTGCCTCTGCCTCTCCCCTCTGTCTCTCTCTGTCTCTCTGTGTGTCTCTCTCTCTCTCTCTCTCTCTCTCTCTCTCCCTTATGTCATCTTTCTCTCCCTGTCTTCCCTTCTACCCCAGTTCCCCCCTTGCTCTCCATACACCCTCTGTGGCAAACAGACAAAGCTGTAGACAGGGAATGCATTCTTAGAGTGATTCTATGAGCTGTCAGAAAGTTGGCACCCTCAACTCTGCCTGAAGGGACACCCAACCACGATGGTGCATCAACACCCCTGTCAGGTGGGAGTCACTAAAGATGAAAAGGCTGAACACTGACTCACCTTCCGCAGACAGCCCCTGGGTGTTGATTCCCTTGGCTGCCAGGAAATTCAAGCAGGCATCTATGTTTTCAATCTAGAGGGGAAGAAACACAAGATACATTTAATATTCACTTAGCCTTCTCCAGGTACCCTCTCATTAGGAACCATCGGCAAACAGAATGTGTAAAAACAGCCAGTGGATACAGAGAAGAAGGTTCTCAAAACTGTGCACTCACACAGGAAGCAGTTACCTAATATCCCAACCACCAGTGCCAAAAGTTGAGGCCTTGGATCACTCACAGCCACCAAAAATAACCAGGGTGCGATGAATGCTCTCATCTTGATCAACGTCACTGGCGTGATCCTCAAACTCTGAGGAGTTGCAGTAAAATGGAGGTGGGACGACGGTGATAGACCCACCCACCTAGCTGCTGGGAGACATTTCCAGCCACTAAAGACACAGGCAATCAAAAGGTCGAATGGTGAGTTTCTGTGTTAGCAGGAGTCTGGGCAGCGTTTACCCACAGAATTACCAGGCATCACAGAGGCCGAGCAACCTCTGGGACGTCTATATGTCCTTTGTGATTTCTGTGACCAATACGGACCCACCAGACCTCCTGTGTTTGCTAGGGTTGATACCAAGGCCAAGGACAAGCCAATGCCCAGCCCTTCAAGAAAAAGTAATTAGGTCATTCCCAAAGGCCTGTTTGACTTCAGTTGTCAGGCCTAATTACCTTTGAGTTTTAAGGAAAACGCTCTGACTTGATGAATGTCACAGTAGACCAAAAGTGAAAGAAATTGCTTCTGACCTGGTACCCGTTCTTTGGATCATAGAACTTGAAGGGAGTCCACTCCCTTCAGTAACCGGCTCGCCCCACCGGATTTTGTTTTCCTCCTGACATCTTAATATTCTTTTTTATTTTTTAAGTTCAAAGGCATTAATATTCTTATGCACTCAAAGCTTTTGGGGGGTAGTGGTGGTGGTGACAAGGCCTCACTGTGTAGACCAGGCTGGCCTCGAACTCACAGAGATCTACCTCCTCTGCCTCCACAGTGTTGGGATTAAAGGTGTGCACCTCCACATCGACTCCTCTAGGTCATGCGCAGTGGACATACTGCTATTCTTTTCCCACTTTCCAAGCAGCATCTCAGAGCTCCCCAGAGCTACAACCAGCGTGAACCCTTGTTCCCTACTAACTCGAATTCGAGTGCAGTCTGGCTCTGCGTTGGTCGATCTTCTGAAGTTCATGTCCAACTCCTCCTGACTTCTAGCAGCTCCCTTCTCTACCCCAGTCTTCAGATGTTCCCAGGGAGTTAAGCACATGACTGGACACCTGCACAAAACTGTTCCTAGCTCAGAAGAGCTCACATCATCCTCCAGCCCATTTGTTCTTTAAGGCAGGTCACCATCCCAAGTTGGCCTTTAAACTCCTGATTCTTGTGCCTCTATCTCCCAAGTGCTAGGATTACTGGAGTGTATCATAACACCTAGAAAATTTCATAATTTTATGATTTGAAATGATAGTGGTGCACACCTGGGGTACAACTACTCCTGAAACTGAGGCAGAAGCTTGCTTGAAGGGTTCGAACCTGGCATGGGAAACACAGTGAAGCATGCCTTTAAGCCAATACACATGTGTTTATATGAACATGTACGTATATAACGGTGTCTCTTTGTGGGCGCACACTCTCTCCTTAAGCATTTGTCTGTACAACATATACAAGCCATAAAACTTAGTATTTTCCCTTATAGTGAATATTTTCTCTTATAAGCAAGGTTTATAATGGTAAAATAGCATTTGGAAATGCTTATTTTTTAAAAATAGTTTTTATTTTATTATTTTTATTTTATGGGTATGAGTGTATTGCCTGCATGTATGTGAGTGCAACCATGTCATGCAGTGCCGTGGAAGTCAGAAGAGAGCTTCGGATTCCCCTGGAACTGGAGTTAAGGACAATTCGTAGCCGCCATGTGGGTTCTGGGAATCTAATCTGGGTCCTCTGCAAGAGCAGTCAGTGCTCTTAACTGCTGAGCTGTCTCTCCAGCCCCTATTTATTTTTATTTTATGTGTATAAGAGTTTTGCCTGCATGTATCTAAGTGCACCTGTGCATGCAATGCCCACAGAGGCCAGAAGAGGGTGTCTGGAGTTACAGACAGTTGTTTGTGTGTGCTGGGACCTGAACTTGGTCCTCTGCAAGAGCAGCCAGTGCTCTTACCTACTGAGCCATCTCCCCAGCCCCTGAAAATATAATGTTTATTATACTTACAGTAGGAACAGATTACCACCCAACACTGTGCAGGGCATCACCAGTGAGCCCTGCCTTTCTCTCTGCCTCTCCCTTCCCTCCAAGATGCAGATGGCCACTTGAAGTCTTCTGAGAGAGACGGGAAGCCACGGAAAGGAGAGTTAAAAGCAGTATCACTTTCTCCTGACTCGGGGGTGATTTGGCAGCTGTCTGTAATTTACATCATTGGCATTTACTTCATTTGCAAGACATTGGCTTTTTGCCTCTTTTCCTAGACAGAAAATGTGCCTGGTGAGGACCTTCAAGGTGGGCTCCATGTTCAGGAGAGAGGGGAAGCCGGGCCATAAAGATCCCAGCAGCACTCATTACAGTGCAGAGATACCCTTGTACCATCTCTAAGGAGGCTCCTCCCTCATGTGTGATCCAGACACCCAGCATGAGCTGAGGATCTGGTTAACAAGAGGAAGCAGAGAGGGAAAAGACTCTTAACCAGAAAAGTATGTAAATAGGACCAGAGTTGTTCATTAACACGCAGCAGCCAATATAAACTACTTTCCAAAATTAGCTAAAAGAAAACAAATCTGTGCGAAGTCCAACATTCCAGTGTTGCCTACAGGGGCTGGGGATGCATGGGAAGGCTGTTAGAACTGTTACTGTGGAGATGATGGGTCAAGAGCTCTGGGATCGAGTTGCTTGAATGGGCAGCATAAGCCCAGTGGAGAAGCCACCATGTGGCCTGGAGGCCTGGAAGAAGAACGGGCCGGGACGGAGGAGAGAAAAGGACAGAGCAAGGCCAGGGGCCCTTCCTCGAGGCTCCGTTGTTGGTAGCCAAATGCTGCCTTCACCCTAAGCTGACCTTTCTCCTAGTCTGTCTCTACCTTCAAGGTGAGTATGTTCTCTAAGGCCTCTGGCCTTGAGGTTTTCCAGGCAACCTCCATGGGCTGCATGTTACAGTCTTTGTCTCAGTATCCAGAAGTCCATCTTGCTGGGTATGGTGGTGCATGCCTTTAATCCCAGCACTCAAGAGGCAGAGGCAGACAGATTTCTGTGAGTTTGAGGACAGCTGGTCTACTTAATGAATTTCAGGCAAGCTAGGGCTATACAATGAGACCCTATGTCAAAAAAAAAAAAACCAAAAAACAAAACCACAGACATTAATCCAGCCAGGCGCAGTGGCGCACACCTTTGGTTCCAGCACTCAGGAGGCAGAGGCAGGTGGATCTCTGTGAGTTCAAGGCCAGCCTGGTCTACATAGTAAGTTCCAGGCCAGCTGGGGTTACAGGAAGAACCCATCTCAAAAAGCCAAAAAAAAAACACCCAAACACACAGACAAATCAAAAACATCCAGTAATCCACTGTCCAGGAAGATGAGGAGGTAGCACACAAACGCCACCCAGCTGCAGAATCAGTGGGTAAGACACAAACGGAAAAGCCCCCATTTCGGTCATGATCAAGACTTGACTGGGTCTCATGATAACAAAAATGCAAAGCCGGAAAGTACTGTTGTCTATCTCTCCTCAGAAGCTTAGAGACTGATCAAATACCATCTGTTGTGGAAGTTGTCATGGCAACATCTTTCCCAGAAAACCACTGTACTTCAATGCAAAGTTCCTGAAAACGCTGAATGCAAACCAAGCCAGTCTCTACGGCAGCTCTCATAGCCCGGGCAGGAACAGCAGGGCCATGCCAAGTGCATAGGAGTTTTTCACTGCACCCCTTGGAGCGCTCTGTTCTGGGGGAAGGGGGGCAGACTATCACATCAACATCAAGTAAGGTCACAATCATATTTCAAAATCATGAAATGCCCAGTCCCCAGGAAAAGAGAACCAGACCCCAGGCTCAGTGAGAATGTGGGAGTTCCCACCCCAAACTAGTGCATCTTCTTCACAAGATTTGTACGTACATCAGCTCCAACCACTTGCATTTGTGGGGTGTGTGTGCGTGTGTGTGTGTGATCTTCACTTCTGACATTGATATTTGCCATCAAGAATAACCATCCCTGGACCAGTAAGATAGACTCCTGATGACGAGAGTTGCATCCCTGGATCCCACGGTGGAAGAGGAGAATGGACTCTTGACAGCTGTCCACTTCTCACACGTACCGTGGCACACACATCCTGCACTCACACATATACAATGATAATTTTAAAATAGCCACCACCCATCCATTTACTTATTATTTCATTTCATTATTTCATTGTATGTACCAAGAACCTGGCACTGGGTCTTCACAGTGGTGATGAGAACGGATGACCTCTGTAAGTGTAATGTAGATGAACAGGCATTCAGAAAGGCACACACAGAAATGGTGACAAGCTGTCCTGGCAACCATAAAACAGAGGCCATGAGGAACATGGGCATCCGACAAATTGATCAAGCCGGGGATGGGTCTGGCAAGAATTTCTTAAGGAAGAGACAGCATGTAAGGCAACACTTGGGGAACTCTTGTCTATTTTGTTTGTGGACATGGCCCCAAGAACCTAGAAAAGGGCTTCATAATATTTGCTGACTAAAGGAATGAAGGGCAACATGTATTAAGGGCTGAGGGGTTATTAGGCAGGCACTCAGGGTGGGAGGAACAACAGGCCAGGCCTAGGGAACGGAAGGCTGAAAGCATCCACAGGGGATGAAAGAACACATTCTGGAAGCCCAAAAAAGTCAAATGACTGGAGCGCACCAGATAGGGAAGAGGAGTAATAAGAGTCTGACTGAGGAAAGACAGGGTGACGGCCACACAGGGAGACACATCGGCACAGGAAGGGGCAGTGGTGGGGAAGGACAGCAGCCATGCCCCTCCCAACTGCAGGCTGTACCCCACGTAGCTCTGCCAGCCTCCCTTTTTGGTG